ATACACCTTATCAAAGTTTTACATTTCTGTGGATTGCAACATTCTTTCTCACCCTATTCCTTTAAACAGTGTTTAACATTTATTTTTATACAATTTCGCCAAGGAAAGAGAGAAAGATGTGGAGAGCTATGATCGGGAACTTCGAGGAAGAATATTTAATATAACGGTCACAAGGATTAAAACGGTCTGAGCGTTGCGAGAGAGATCAGCGGTAAATTTAAAAAAATAAATACACCCTTTATTTCACTGACCGGGGTAGACCGTTCTACCCTAGTTCCACGTTTAATGGATGTCAGTTATCACCTGTTAATTACTCTCACCAAGTTCTCCACTGCCTTAAACGGGTATTGAACTCACACTCTTTGGATCCTGTCACTGGATCTCACCAATAACTTTATCCACTGTGCCATGAGTCTTTGAGCTCATCTGTATATGAATTTCTGGGTATTATAAACCTAATGTCTCGGCAACCGTTTTTTACCAGTGTTCATATTGCATTTTTTGCTGTTATCATTTCATGTTTTTACCAGAGCTCATATTGCAATGTTTGTTGTTATTATTGCTTTTCTCTGGCATTCCTTATTACTGGTTCCCATATTGTATTCATTTCTATGCTTAGTCGGCTCAGGAGATTTTTGTGGCCTAGCATATATACTGATTCTTTAAGTTGACGAATTTTCCAATGGTGTTCTTTGTCTATGATCTCAACCTGATCCCATAGTGTACATAATACCTCATCTCAGAAATATAGACAGATAATGAGGAAGCTTGAAGCAACAGAAATGTGGTTCCACAGAATCATGATGAGAATACAATACGCCGAACGTGTGAGCAACGATGAAGTTTTAGTTAAAATGGAAACGAAAATTATATTTATACTTACCATTAGGAAGAAACAATTGAAATTTCTACAGTACATAACGAGGAAAATGGTTTTGGAAAATTTGATACTCACAAGGCGGATTGAAGTCAAGAAGGGCATAATTAATAACGATAGAATTTAATTCCAATGTTTCGCCTGCAAAACATCAGATAAAATGGTTAGGAAAGTTATTAATTCAATAAAAATAAAGGAATGTGAACTCCATCGGACAATCAGCCTAACGAGCTATATAACAAAATTTATCATCCGAATTACGATAAATAGAATGATCAGCAGAATAAGTTCTAAAATAGGACAGGATCAGTGCGGGTTTGTTAAATTTATTAAAAAGTAGGACTGCGATATATAAGCTCAGAATGATATGAGAAATTGTAATAAAATTTCAGAAAGACGTGTACCTGATTATTCAAAAGCGTTTGATAAAAATTTGTCCCAAATAATTGTTGGAACTGCTTAGTAATCTTAATACTTTCGGGAAGGATATTAGCATAATCCAGAATCTATACTAACAAAAAACACAAGTCTGAATACGGTTAGAAAAGGAATTCAGTAAATATACAAAAATAGAAATGGGTGTAAGACAAGGATGTGCCTTCTCACCAGACTTATTCAACCTATGCTGACCATTCTAAGAGTTCTACCTAGTTTCATTATCGACGCGCACATTTTTAAGAACATATGACAGTGTTGATAGAAGATACAGAAAGGAAACTCTCTCCTACATATGGTAGTGAAGGAAAGCGAGAAGAAAGGACTAAGCCTCAGTTGCAAGAAAACGTAGAAAGACTTAAATAGCTGGAAACTGTTTTAACAGGACAAATATTGCCACACTGAAATCCAAAGGCGCTTTGCGAAATATGTTTTCCAAAAAGCTAAGTAACGTAATAAGAACATTTTTTTCTTTAGAAAAAAAGAAAAGAGTATTGAACAGTTATATAATATCCGTCTTCCGATATGTCAGAGAATGCTGGAGAATCTCTTCAAAGAAACTTGAAGCAACAGAAATGTGGTTCTATAGAAGGATGCTGAGAATACGATACGCCGAACGTAGGAGCAACGATGAAGTTTTAGGGAAAATAAAAATTATATTTATACTTACCATTATGAAGAAACAATTAAATTTCTAGTGTACATAACGAGGAAAAAGGTTTTGGAAAATTTGATACTCACAAGGCGGTTTGAAATCAAGAAGGGCAGAGGAAATCAAGGCATAATCTACCTAGCGAGATTGATTTAACATTGTTTAGAATATACAAAAAAATACCATTTCTGAAGAACTACATAGGACAGGGAATTGTGGAGAGCCATGAACGCCAACGTCCTGAAGGGACACGGCACATAGAAAAAACTGAAGTCTTGTTCCGTTAAATGCGTCAAGAGATGACAGTACTGTTTTCGACCAATATGACTACGTCATACACACATGCAGACATTGTACAGATCTGTTCTGGTTATTGCACAAAATCGATATTTCATCACAAGTCATGAACCGATGCAAAAGCCGATTATTTCTATATCGTCTAGCACAATGATGCATACTTTGAACTCTTTGTTTTGAAATCTATTCAAATGGAAGTCAGTAATCGTGTATTCCTCTTGACAATAGTTCTTCAAATATTTAAAATACTTCCATTCCATACAATGCAGTTTGCAGCATTTTTTGGAGCTGATTTTGTGATAATGTTTCAGCAAAGCCTTTAAATCGTCAGCATAGATTGTTTGGTTGGCTCGACGAATTCAGAACTGATGAGTTCTCAACTAGAATCTTCTTTTTGTAATGAAAAATAAACTTATAATCTTATTCTTCGTTTATTTAGCTTTCTATATTTCTGAGATTATAATATACACTATTTACATTATTCGCAATAAGGTCCTCATCTTTGTTGCCATATTTATTAAAACGTTTCGGCCCTTCCGTATCTGTCTATATTTCTGAGATGATTATGTACACTATTTACATCATTCGGACTATTGTCCTCATCTTCGTCGCCATATTTATTAAAACGTGTCGGTCGTTCAGTATCTGTCTATATTTCTGAGATGAGGTATTATGTACATTATTTACATTATACGGACTATTGTCCTTATTTTTGTTGCCATATTTATTACAATGTTTCGGCCCTTCAGGATCTGTCTATATTTCTGAGATGAGGTATTATGTACAATATTTACATTATTCGGACTATTGTCCTCATCTTTGTCGCCATATTTATCAGAACGTGTCGGCCCTTCAGTATCTGTCTATATTTCTCAGATGTGCTATTATGTACACTATTTACATTATTCGGACTATTGTCCTCATGTTTGCCGCCATATTCATTACAACGTTTCGGCCATTGCACGTTCCGGCCTTCTTCATGTGGTTGGAATGTTTATTTCGCACACTGGGGTAGACTGTTCTAGTTCCACGTGCCATGTTTGATGGATGTCAGTTATCAGATATCTCCTGCTAATTTCCCTCCGAAAGTTCTCCACTGCCTTAACCTGGTATTGAACTCACACTCTTTGGCACCTGTCACTGGATGTAACCAACGCCTTTATCCACTGTGCAAGGTGGTTGGAATGTCGAAGTGAACTTTAATGACACATGGCACAGTGGATAATGGCGTTGGTTAGATCCAATGACAGTATGAGTTTAATACCTGGTTAATACTTAACATCAGGAAAGACAGTTAAAATGTCTAGGGCGCATAATAAGGAAAGATGGCTTAGAATATCTGATACTCACAGGACGGATTGAAGGCAAGAGGCACAGAGACAAACAACGCTTAACCTACCTATCGAGCTTGAGAAAATGGATGACGGAACAAGTTTTAAGAGAGATATCAATATATATATATATATATATATATATATATATATATATATATATATATATATTAAGAGCTATAAATGACAGGAACTTGAGAAGAACCATGATAAACACGGCCCTTAAACGACACGACACATAAAAAAGATCTTTTTAAGTTTATGGGCGGTCTCTGCAAAGATGAAGAAAAGACTCGAGCCAAAGGAAGTATGGTTCTACAGAAGGATGCTGAGGATATCGCGGACCGAGCGTATGAGCAAAGATGAGGTTTTGGAGAGGATGCAAACAAGGAGGAAACATATACTCAACATCAGGAAGAGACCGCTGAAGTTTCTGGGACAAGTAATGAGAAAGAAGGGCTTGGAGAATCTAATACTCACAGTTCGAATAGAGGGGTAAAGAGACAAAGGAAATCAACGCATAGCAGACCTAGAGGGCTTAATCAAGTGGATAAGAGAACATGGTCTGCGGGAAGTAGCAAAGGTACAAAACTTATTGAGGGCTACAAGGAACAGGGGGAAGTGGAGATCCATTATCAACCACGTCCTGAAGGGACAGACATATAAAAGAAGATAGCATTACTATACGTATAGTAAACTGAACTGCCAACCTTTGTTTATCCAGATCGAATGTAAAGGCTATAACAGCTTTTTGAACAAACCCTGACAAAGTCTTCTTGTCACAGCTATTTTGTAGAAAGCAGTTGGGAGGTGAAGACAATTTGGAATCTGGCTATGCAACAAAGTTTTGTGTTGAGATGAGATGGTCATCAAAATTGTCTCTCACCATCCCTACAGTTCATACCTTGCTTCCTGATATTTTTGATTGTTCCACAAGATTAAGTCATTTTGAAGATGAAGGAGGCTGCGTTAAGTGTCTTGGACACATTCACTTTGGATGACTTTCATGGGGTCTTCACAAAGGGGCTGGTGCGCTGAAACAAGCGTATCAAAGTCAGAGGATCAGGTTTTAAAGGAAATTAAAGTTTTGTTCTTATTCGTAATTAATAAAGGTCACTCCTGAAAAAAGTCTCCAAACTTTGGAAATGCAACTTGTAGATCATGCTATTTATGTCGCAGCAGAATAATCCGTAACACTGGGCATTCTCACAGATGTTTGAATCTTATGAATTCGACAATGGTTTGCGGCTGTTAATTTTCGTTTTGTCAATTATTATATTTGTTTGTAAAGGTAATTGACTTTCGCTCATTCTGTTGGTCAGGCTGATTATATTATCACCTCAAAGAAGATCGGCTGCTGTTTTGACGGCAATTGCACCTGTACGTGATGAAATATCAAAATTGAACATCAAGAGAGACGATCAGATATAATCTTAGTGTTACAGAGAAGAAGGCGAAAGACAGTTGTAACAGAATTATAAAGATTAAAGAAAGAAAGAATTATAAAGAAAGAGTTATAAAGATTAAAGAAAGAAAGAATTAAACTGTAAGGAAAGAAATAAATAATTTAAACAAAGGAAAGAAAGAAAGAAAAAGAAATAAACTAAAGAAATTAAAGAAAGAATTTAAAGAAAGAGGTTAAGAGAAGGAAAAAAGGAAAGAATCGAAAGAAAAAAAAAAACAAAGAAAGAAAGAAAAAGGATTCCAAGAATGAAAGAAATGATTTAAAGAAAGAACAATTTAAATGAAGACAGAGAACAAGTGAAAAACAGAGGGAAAAGATAGAATTTTTACCTAAAATAAAAAAAGAGCGCAGAAGAAAGAAAGAAAGAAAGAAAGAAAGAAAGAAAGAAAGAAAGAAGATCGCGGAAGAAGAAAGAAAGAAAGAAAGAAAGAAAGAAAGAAAGAACGAACGAAAGAAAGAAAGAAAGAAAGAAAGAAAGAAAAATGAGAGAGAGGAAGAAGAGAAAAGAGGAACAAAATAGAATGTCAAAAGTGAGAAAGATGGAAAAAGAAAAAAAAATAAAGTATATAGAAACGAAGAACTATATAAAAAGAAAGATAATTAAATAGAAAATGTCCGAAAATAAAGATGAAGGAATGAGATAGGTGGCTAGAAAAAAAAAAGGTTTTTAAAAAAAAAAAAATGTTGTGCAAAAAGAAACAGGAAAGAGCGTGTGAACGGAATATGGCTGGCATCGGTATTCGAAAATAGACCAGATTTGACAACGTAGTTATTACTTCGTAGTCCAGTCGTAGTAGTCTTTGGTGGGTTGGGATTGCACATAAAAATGAAAGAATCAATGACTGTCACTTGTTCGAATTTTCTCTCACGCTGCAACAAAACCAATCATCAAAATCCCCTAATATCAGGCAGGCTGATCGTCAACAAAGTAAAACGAAAATTGAATATTCTGACATTATTTTTATTTTATTTTCTTGAGCTTAGTGCGACACAAAACCACAAACTTTAGCAGCAATAGCCTGCAGGATAAGCTTGTTAGCCATTACTCCACAATGTAGCATTTATTACTTTCCATTATCAGTTAGGTTTATTCTGAATTCTGGTACCAGGAATAGGTGGTTGGAATTTAAATCCTAAGTCTTTTTTTTTCGTTATAAACAACTTGATGCTCTGTTCTTTGAAGGCATATGTAGTCAAGTCTTTCTTAGGATTCAACTTATTTATTCACCGTGAATTGTGATGGATTCTTAGGAAATATATTGCATCTGTTTCTCATTAACTATCTCCATGTCTTTACTTCTTGTATACTAGCTGTCATTCAAAGCGAGATAGCGCAGTCTATCCTGTTATTTAAACCATAGTCGGAGGAAAAGTAAGAGTTTTACAAATGGGAACAGAACGTAGGAATCGCAGAAGACTAGGTTATGAATTCGGCTTACCGAATTTACTTACATAGCCTGTAAACTTTACACAACAAGGACACCGGTGTCTAGCATTTTCACGCAAGAAATAATCAGCGAAAAAATGTAAATGCGATGGTTGATTTAAACTTTAAAATAATTTTGTTCTGTTTCATATCAGAACAGCATTAGAATTTAGTATGAAGTTTTTAAACTTATTAGACCTACTTAACTAATTTAACAAGAGGTAGTAACATATTCTGTCCCGACCAAAAAGTCCTTTCACAAATATTATTTTTGATCATTCGGAGAGATTTAAATGGGTGACTAAGAGTCAGAACATTTCAGGCCATTCTTAAGGCGGCGTCTCTTAAGAAACAGAAAACAGGTTGGTGATATTGTATTATTATTATTATTATTGTTTTTATTTTCTATGATTTCTGTCTCGTTTACACATTTCTTTCCGGGTCCCGCCCAGGGACCTAAGGTTAGAAATGGCATCATGACACTTTCCACTGACAAAAAAAAAAATTAAAATAAAATAAAATAAAATAAAAATTACATAGATAAAGCCCTTCGTAAAGTCTGGGCTGTACTTGTCAGAACAATTTTTTGTATCTCCTTGAGGCATGGACTTCCAGGAATCCCTTCAATTAGTCTACTGCAATCTTTTCCAACCAGTCCTAGGGCTCCAACTACATCAGTGATTGTTGATGTTCCCATATGCCACATTTTCGAGATTTCTATTTCAAGGTCCTTTTATTTTGACAGCTCTTTGAATATCTTCAAAGATACATAGCAGTCAGCAGGGACTGCCATATCAATAAGGAAACACAGTTTTTGTTTGTGGTCTTTAATAAGAATATCTTGGCGGTTGGCTTTGATTGTTCTGTCAGTGTATATTGTGTAGTCCCATAGAATTGTAACAGGTCTTATCTCCGTAACCGGGTCTGGGTGGTGTTCATACCATTTTCTTTCAGTTTCCTTCCCGTAGAAGTTGCAGATTTTCCAGTGCAGATACTGGCCCACTCTGTCATGCCGGGTTTTATATTCAGTGGGTACCAATATCGTGCAACCTGATACAAGATGATCAATCGTTTCTGGATATTTATCACAGAATCTGCATTTTGGGCTGACACAATATTTTAGTATATGGGCTTGATAATTCCTAGTTAGCAAGCATTGGTCCTGTGCAGCAAGGATAAAACCTTCAGTTTCAGCTTTCAACCCTGCACTACGTAGCCACTGATGGGTACAGGTTTTGTCTACGTCAGCTTTTTTGGTACGGGCAGAGTATTGGCAATAAAGCGGTTTATCTTGCATTCGTCTTTGCTGTCTTTTTTAAGTATTTTGCAGGTTCAGCCGGTGTATTGTGCTGTAGTTGCATCTTTACGCCCATTTGAAACTCATTATTATTATTATTATTATTATTATTATTATTATTATTATTATTATTATTATTATTGTCTGAAAGTTCTTTTTTGATTAAAAAAATCTCTTTAGGATTTTCGTACATCTCGCACATGATGCCAATCGAATAGTCCATGTACAGGATAACAGAAGACATTAGATGAGAATGCGTACCATTTCGAGAAATGTCATTAGATGGAATTTACTGCTCATTGATGTGATACTCCCCCCCCCGCTAACAGGTGCGATTGATTTACTTCCTGTTAACTACTTCATATTTTTTTTGGGGAGGGGGATCATTTGTCTAGTTTAGCGTTTTGTGATCAATTCTCCAGAAAAAATTATCAATTCTTTTGAGCTACATCCAGTGGCTCAACTTTTGAGTTTCTACTGGGATATACTTTAGGGTTGCCTTTATTTTCTCTGCTTGAATTCAATAAAAAGGGAGCAAATATTTGCTTATCCTTTTCTTTCTATTCAAATATGATCAAAAGCCAATTTTCTCTCTGTCGCATTACACTGATCAACAAGTAAAAAAAAGATACATGGCATGGAGACACCAAACATATTTTTTAGCTAATTTGAAGGCGCTGAATTTGAAAATTACTTTTTCTTCGTTAGCAACCGTTTTTTCCAGTACAGAAATGCATCATTTGTTTTCATTTGTTTTTTGTATAGATGATATTACCCGATGACAATATTTCTCAACATAAAATCGTAGAAACCTCTCAATTTGTACTTAAACCAACAAATATTGGTCTGCTTATCGAGAAATAATGTTTTTGCAATAACAATCAGACCCTTAAGTCTTTAAAAATAATACTATTGAATATACCAAGACCAACAAGTATTTTCATCAAAACATTTAATAAACTAACAGCAGAAATAAAATATTCGTTAAAATAATTATGCTAAAAAAATTGTTCTTTCTTGATTGTCATGTTCAATGTTATTTAATTCCTTTTTGATACTCCAGCAGTATCATGTAAAATGGAATAGATACATTCAATTGGGATGTCTTTTAGTTGGAGTTTCTTTCCAACTGTGAAAACAAAATGCTCCGAATGTGCTTGGTTTCCTTCTGTAGTGAAGGGATAAAAGTGATGGGATGAATTTATGAATATCAAACAGAAGATTTTAGGGTTTCATTTATTTGATGTCATCTTAATTATTAGGATTCTTAAAGTATATTACTGATAAAGTTTAGCAGTTAATTTGAATGTTTGCTATAAATAAGAAAATTTTGCTCCATCTATTTAAAAATTTTTGACTCAAAAACATTTTTTTCTTAGAAGAATACATTATTTCAGGTGGCTGACATAACGTGCTCGGCCTACTTGAAAATTGATGGGTTTCTACGACCTTTATTAACTAAATTTTGCGATCAGGCAAGATGGTAAATTGATCTTTTTTTTTGCAAAAATAAGCAACATCAGTACAGCAAAAATGGCAGCGAATTATGAAAAACTAATGTCATTTTCGGAATCGACACCATCAAATTAACTAAAAAATATGTTTTGTTTCTTGGCAGCTAAAATCATGTTGACCAGTGTTATGAACGGATGGACAATATAAATATATTTAAATTGATTATATAAAGCATATTTTCTAGGTGTCGTACCCCCAGGAAATGAGCCATCATAGTTGTAAATAATTCATATGCTTTGCGGAACGTAGTAACCTTTGTCTCATTACAATACCTCCCACTCAATTTACTGCCATGCATTTACAGAATCTTTTGAGGTAAGTTGCTGGCCGTTTCTCTCTGTCCCTCTTACATTGAATATATTTTCAGTGTTAAATTTTCTAACTCTTCTTTCCTCATTATTTTGATTCTAAGTGTCATTTCGTTTCAATTTTTTACAAACTTCCTCGTTGATTACATGCGCCGCCCATGATATTATCAGCAGCGTTCTGTAGAACCATATTTCTGTCTCCTTTTCATCTGTGAGGATATTTCCGTCTCCTTTTCATCTGTGAGGATATTTCTGTCCTCTTTTCATCTGTGAGGATATTTCCGTCTCCTTTTCATCTGTGAAGATATTTCCGTCTCCTTTTCATCTGTGAGGATATTTCCGTCTCCTTTTCATCTGTGAGAATATTGTTCAGTATTCATGGGCGTATACAAGGATTAATATTACATAGAAATTCAGCATTAATTTTCCCTATTTAAGAATCGAGCATAAATTCGTTGTATTATAGGAAATACTGAATAGCAAGGAGGTGAAATATATTTTCAACATTCAACATTCAATTCTGAATCTATATTCCACAGTATCTAGAGATGACGTCTGGATAAAACACTGAAATGACAATACAGATAAAACAAGGTACGATAAAACAAAAAGAGGGAAAACATAACGAAGTGAGGCAATATAAGAGTTATAAAACAGAGAGAGAGAGAGAGAGAGAGAGAGAGAGAGAGAGAGAGGCATAGGGAGGAGAAGGAAAGGCGGAGGAATTAAAAAGTCTACAGCGTTTCAACCTAATCTCTTTTCGTGTGACATTACGGCAGCTTTCATTCATTTTCAAGTCGATCGGCAGGGAAGTCTATTTATTCTTGCAGAAAGATCTAGGTGGGAGGTCTTTGTTCCAGCCCAGCCTTTTCATTTAGTATTCGGGATATTTCTTCACACCCATTAATTTCTATTGCGAGCACACTAGAATAAAGTGTCCCATTTTTTGATACTTTAAACACAGCGGCTCTCACGATGGTTTCGGCAAGCAACAAGCACAATTCCAGGACTTTTTATTCTCTCCTGATTATTACACTTCTTCCCGCTCTGTCCGGGCCGCCGGTCAGCCTAGCAGACTAGTTGATAATGTCAATCCTCTGTCTCAAAGGGAAAGTTCGTCTTTATTCTCTGGGAAGAACCGATGGATGCTGGTTAAAAGACAACAATTAATTTATTGCTAAATTCTATTTACTACAAACTTGGTTAATGCCAAAAGATGTAACCTTTTGAATGACCCATGTCCTTTGTACTTACATGAGAAACAATATATTACTAGGTTTATATAAAAAATAAAAGTTTACTAAATCAGTGAAATTTTACTTAAATAATATTTAAATATAAAAAAAAAATTGTAACCTACTAATATACATACTTATACTTGATGTAAAAATAATTCTGCATACTATAAGGGATTCTAATACATTTAATTGTTCTTAAAATATAATATATTAAAAATTAGAAATGAAAATATTTCAAATCGTAGTTAAATAAAACGTATTCTAACCTAACCCCCCAAAAAAAAAAAAATCTTTAAATATACAAATAGGAAAAAATGCCGTAAGAATTTTTGCCATTAACAATAAATTTTTAAAAAATCCAGACGACATGCATTTAACGGATATCAGATTTCATTGAAAAATACATCCATACCCTCTACCAAAACGTAACTAATAACGGATACATCAAAATACAGATATAATGAATACGCAGACACACTCTGTCTAGTTGATGTGGATTTATCTGTAACCTTGAGGATGTAATGGAACTAATGTCTTTAATTTAATTACAAAATTAAATTCGTAGCTTTTAGCTTCCATTTTTGAAACATGGTTAGAACTGTGTAGCGAAAAAAACATATTTTAAATAAATCAATTTATAATATATATATATGTGTGTGTGTGTGTCTGAATTACGATACATAATTTAAGTAAATGACAAATGCTAACATTATATCGAATGATAAAATGCTAACATTATATCGAATATGTGAGAACAAGTGCGATTAAAACACAATCTAAAGAGTTGAATAAAGTTGGTGACGATGTACATCTTGTCATCACATCGGATACCAGAAAATTAATTTAAAAATTTAAAGTTTAACGTCCTTAAACCTTCAAAATTTACTCTGAATATATAATTATAACTAGCGTTCTTTTCTGTTTGTGTCCTGGGTAAGACGATAAACTACATTCGCATCCTGGGTATGACGATAAACTACATCCGCGTCCTGTGTATGACGATAAACTACGTTCAACAGCAAAGCCTCTGATAATACGTTTCTGAAAAAATAATGTTGCCAGCTGTACGTTTTTTGAAAAAATAATGTTGCCAGCTAGACATTTTTGTAACATATATAGATTTTTGACAAAACAAAAATATTACCAGGAAAAAAAGATGTCGGCATTAAATGACGCTTTGAGGTTGATATGCCTAAAACAAAACAAACTTTTCAGTTTTATATTTTCACCCTTCACTCTACATAAATATATTTCTATCAATAAGAACATTATATTAGTCTGATGAAGTCTTTTTGAAGGGCGAAAAGCGTGAAATATACTAATATAACGTACTTATTGATGGGAATATATTTATACTTTATATTCCACGACACGTAGATAGATATGATGTCGTGTCGTGGAATATATAAATGCTACACTAATTAAATAGAAAATAATTCACTAAGACAAAAATGTCAAGAAAGTTCTTTAGTTACGAGTTCAGTCAAAGTAAATTTACATCCAGGCTCTTATAACGAATCACCATTCATAGCAGATTTCCTGTTATCACAATGTAGGGTAATTAAAAACAAATATCATAAAAGAAAAGAAAAGAAAAAGAATAGAAATGAGTTTGGCTCCATTCTTAAAAAAAAGAAGTTTATTTCAATGTTTTGAAACTACCAGCGTCTCTTGTTAATACGCATGTGTAGTGATAACAACATCAACAAACCCAGTCTGATGAAGTCGTAACGGATGAAACGTGTCTTCCAATTTTTCATACAATTTACTCTTGATATCTATACATTATCTGATTTTACAATTTTTGATGTCATTTGTTTACATTGATTTATGCTTCGAACAGATATGATCGTTCGATAAAAATCATGGGAAGTTTGTTGTTTAAAAGGAGTAATTTGACTTTGTTAATAGGACGCTACCTCTGTAGCTTAATGGTATAACACGTTAGGCTATATGACGGTTCCATGTAGGATACAGATTCGATTCCTGTCGGAGGACACATTCATGTCATTCAGAGCGGTAAATGTAGTTTACTATTTATTACACACATTTGTATCTATAAAAATAACGTATAAACAAAAAATATATTAAAATAATTGACAGGCTTAATCCATTTTCTTTTTACATACATATATATATATATATATATATATATATATATATATATATATATATATAAAGGAAAATAAGGGTTAGACTCTTTGTACACACCGGACATTTATATATATAAACGATATTACATACGTATTACCGATTTAAAAAGAAATATATCAGTATCTGTCTATATTTCTGAGATGAAGTATTATGTACATTATTTACATTATTCGGACTATTGTCCTCATCTTTGTCGCCATATTTATTACAAAGTTTCGGCCGTTGTACGCTACGGTCTTCTTCAGGTGGTTGGAATGTCGAACTGAACCCTATATTTCGCTCACTGGGGTAGACTGTTCTAGTTCCACGTGCCGTGTCTAATGGATGTCAGTTATCAGTTATCTCCTTTATCCACTGTACCATGTGTCCTCAAGGACACATGGCACAGTGGATAAAGGCGTTAGTTTGATCCAGTACAAGGACCCAAAGAGTTCGATACCCATTTATGGCAGTGGAGAACTTGGAGAGGGGAATTAACAAGAGATAACTGATAACTGACATCCATTAAACATGGCAAGTAGAACTAGATCAGTCTACCCCAGTGAGCGAAATAAAGGGTTCAGTTCGACATTCCAACCACCTGAAGAAGGCCGGAGTGTACAGCGGCCGAAACTTTGTAATAAATATCGCGACAAAGATGAGGACAATAGTCCGAATAATGTAAATAATATATATATATATATATATATTACTATATAAAATATATTTTAGAACAGGTATATTGATCTTGCTTTGTATAAAAATACGTATACTGCTCGCACACTGAACGATTTTAAAACTAAGTTGGAACATCGCAAAATGATGCCGACCTTTGAGCTCTATGATCCGTTGATAAGGAAGCTGTGAAGCATGTGTTACGTTTACAAGAGTCCAATCAGTCGAAAATTCAGTATTGCCGTCATATTTCGTTTGAAGTAGCTAAGCCCTCACTTTCCAGAGACGGTAGAGTTCAAAATCGTTTACACGGTCTTGTGGGTGCGACGTATTTTCCAATCAGCAGCCCCCCCCCCAGAAGTAACGTCGCAAACCAGTTATTCTATTGCAATTTCCGTGGAAAATATTCAGAAGAGGTTCATTCTTTACTTCCACCTGTTTAAATATTTATTGCTTGGAAACCCCAAGCAAATTTCCCGGAATCGAATTACCCACATTTCCTCAGGTTTCCTAATGTAAGTTAAGAAATTTCGGTAAACCAGATTTTCCTAAGAACTTCCTCTTTGGAAAGCAGATTGATTCAAGGTGCTTCCTTGGACACTGGAATCTTCATATTCTCAAATCAAAGATGCATTTTTATCTATATTCCTCATAAGCTTCACTTTTTATCGTTATATTCTCCATTCATATCACACAGCTCGTTTATCGTTACTTTTTCGTCTTGAGTGGATTTCGACGTTCGAAGTTGGCAATATTCTGTAAAAAATATTAAAAAGGAACCGTTTCGGTCTAGTAACAGTCTCTTTTCACCGCGATGTTTTCCCAATAGAAGTTATCGCCAACCATTAAAGTATTCTTTCTGATTGCTAAGACCTAAAATATTTCTTCCTGTGTTTTAAGTGAACATGTCTAAAGGAATCTAAATGATCTGATAGGAAGCTGTCAAAGTAAAAAAAAATATCTTTTATGTGGTTAATCAGAATAATTTCATTTTAATGTTATTTTTTTCCTTTCATTTTCCTGCACACACACACACACAAAGAATAAGTTGCTGCGATTCAAAAGACTCACTTTGTTTACAACGTCGATGCATGTGTAATTTTAATGGTTTCCTTCTATGGAAAAATTCGTCATTTATTAACTGAGCAAGAAGTGTTACTCCAATTATGTTTTCCTCCAATCCCTAGCCATTGGGACTGGATCAAAGTGTAATATCTGTTCGCCTCTCTTCTAATAACAATGGTAATACCATGAAGCGATCAGCCGGCGTTACTTCAGTTATGCTTTTCTTCGCCACCGGGGTTGAATCAAAGTGTAACATCTGTCATAACTACTAATGGTAATGATAATTGTTGTAAAGGAATGTCCCACACTCCCTATCGCCTATGTGGAGTGAATATATATATATATATATATATATATATATATATATATATATATATATATATATAGCGAGCACAGTATATAACTGGGGGCTTGCTTCGGCAATTAGTTGGATATTCTTCTCCAGCTACGCTAGTCAAACTCTTTGCCTTCGGGCAGAGAGGAACCCAGACGAGGCTTTGCCGAAGGGCAGAGTCTAGTCTGGAGTAGTACAGCTACCCGACCCCGTGTATATCCGACCCCGTGAATGTCCCACACTCCCTATCGCCT